AATATTTATATTGGAGCCTGGAAGACCACCAACAATACTGTAATTATCATCATGCTCATGCCTGCCCCACCCCACCTCACACTCAAATAATGCCTAATCACTATATAATATCCACACCATAACTGCCCCTTTCTCATCTCCAAACACTAATTAAGATTCTAAAATTTCTAACATATTTTCATCAGTTGCCGACCAAAAAAAAAAAAATAAAAAAATGTCAGCCGAGTATACAATTTTGAACCTCTTTGATTCTAACTGGTTTCAAAGTGAAAATTTCAGCAAAAGAAACCCATCCCCTTTGCCAAACACGCGCAAAGCCGGACACGAGGATCAGAAAAAGTCAAAAAGAATGTGTCTGATTTCAAAAAAGTCAAAAGATGCATCTCCTAATAATACCGATTCGAGACCTCAGCTTCAAACCATACTCTCCAGAAAAAAAATTGAGAGTTTCCATGACTTGACTGGTGGAACTATTAGGAAAAAGAGAAGAGAAGCGAAGAGCAAGAGTATGTCCGAGCTGGAGTTGGAGGAGTTGAAAGGGTTTATGGATCTCAGATTCGCATTTTCGGACCCCAGATTGGTATCCATTTCCAAGCCCTACCTTTCTGAGGCATGGGATTACACTTTGGGAGTGAAAATTAATCGGCTAACGGAATTGATGAGAATGACGGCTTTTGCAAATGAGTCGGAAGTGAAGCGTCGTCTCAGGGAGTGGGCTCACACTGTTGCCTCTACTGCCAGATGATGGTGCATAGTTACTTGTACACACGATCTGTTCATTTTTCTTTTCTCTTTTCATATGTATGTGTAGGTTATTGGTTCACCAAAAATGGAATATCTTTAAGTTGATGTAAATGGAGGTTTTGTAAGTGTGAGAGAATAAGTTAGCTACGAATGCATGTATCTTGTCCAAGTCAGCATATATGTCTCCTCTCTTCTATATACATTTTATTTTCTTATTAAGTTTTACGAGTTGCAGTTGATAATTTGTTCTAAAATCTGTGTTTCCTTAACAATCGTGTTTCTTTTTTCTCTTTTCAGTAAGCAATGTATAGATATTTAAATAACTATTTCTTATGTTTGCACGACTCAAAAATTATTGTCCTTACGTCCATTCATATATATATATTCTCGATCTCACCAAAGAATTAAAACTGACTCGTTCCCGTACATCATGAAAATTCCTTCAATTGGGTGTATCAATAAAGAAGTGAAATCTAGAAAGAGAACTAATCAAAGTGAAGAAAAAATGGCAAAAAGGAAATAGCTAGCATAAGACTCTCCGAAGTTCTTCATCGCTTTGAGAGATGAAAACAGAAAATTGGTATAGTTGTTTTGAGCCAGTGTTTTAAAACATGTGCATACTTTTACCGTGAGATATATATAATATATTAAAATTATAACAATATTTTTTTTGTTACAAAATAATGATGAATTGACCATTTGGTCAGCCTCAACCCAACCCTTAATCAAATAATAGAACTTCATCATTATTTCTTTTCCATACGATTCATTATCCAATCCAATATAGAAAATAATGATGTGGAAGACAGCGACTATTGACTAATGACCAATGACTTAAGGGGTGTAAACTGGCCTTTCTTTTTATTTTTTATTTTTTTTTCAACGACAAGAAAATGCATTAAAAACTCAAAGCGTTTTACAGACGGACTATCAACTGATAGTGGAATCACAGGGGTGACAGCCGCATCCCCTTAAACATTCAAAGCAATAACACAAAGGAAATAAACAAAAACAGTCCATATTACACAAGAAATTCAATGAAAGAAAAGGAAGACACAATCTGAAATATATCAGTTGCAAGGATATTGCAGCAGGGATCAAAGTGCAGCACCTTCTTGTTAAGCTTGCAGCATATGTTTGCATTCTTGAGTCGAAAATAACAATGTTTCCACTCCTTCTGTAATGCTTGCAACATAGCCCATCTAAGTGCTATTAATTCCCTGCCATCCTTACAGCCATAATACCAAATGTTTTCTTTCCACACTTGTGTTTCCTCTCCTTCCTTGTCAGCAGAACAGAAGAGCTCCATGTTGTTTTGGGTGGAGTTTAAGGCACTGACATTTAGAACCCAATGTCCTACCCTACTGGGAAAATCCTCCACTTGAACTCCATGCACCTGTGATGATGTCATGTGGTTGCTAGCTTGGGCAAATTTTACTTCAGAGAATTCAAGCCACTCAACTTTTGCTCCTTCAGCTATCTCTGTCTCTCTCACTCTTTTGTTTTGAAACACCCACACATTCCTTGTTTTCCAGAGCCACCAGAGGAGATAAGATGATAAACAAGCTCTGTCCTGTATACTTCCTGACTGCCTTGCACAACAAAGGTCACCCCACCATTCTTTGAAATTAGGCTTATCTTGGGAAAAACAGTTCCAGGTGACACCACTGAGTTGCCAGACAATTTTGGCTCTAGGGCAGCTGAAGAGGATGTGATCAAGGTCTTTAGATTCCAGCTCACATAAAGAACAAATGTTATCAACAGAAATCTTCCTCTTAACAAGTTGATCTTTAGTACTCAAGAACTGAAACCAACATCTCCAAAGGAAGTGCTTGATTTTGTTCTTCACAGGAAGTTTCCAAGTAACTTTCCAGACATGTCTTTCCACATTAGAGCCCCTACTAGAACTAGCAACAGCCCTTCTACACATAGTCTTAGCCATAAAGGCTTTATAAGCTGATTTGACACTAAACATCCCATACTTACCATAGCACCACACAAATTTGTCCTTCCTCCCCATCACAGAGATAGGTATACTCAGAATCAGCTCAGCTTCAGTAGGGTTAAAAGATTGAAAAACTAATTCCCTATCCCACACTCCCCTGCCCTCACAGATAAGATCACTCACCCTACTGATATTCTCCCTGTCAACCTCAAAACTGCAAGTAGGAATAGGATTAGCCTCTCTTGGAAGCCATGGGTGCTCCCACACAGAGATTTTAGTCCCATCACCTACTTGACATCTAACACCCCATTTAAGATAGTCTAAAGCCCCCACCCAGCTCCTCCACAACCAGGAGTCTCCATTTTTGTGATTAACATTAAAAAGACTAGACCTAAAGAAATACTTACCTCTGAGAACCCTACTGATTAGCAAGTTAGGTTGAGTAAGCACTCTCCAGAGTTGCTTAACCAGAAGGGCAGTATTGAAAATTCTCAGATTTCTAAAACCTAAACCCCCCTCCTCCCTAGGCTTAGCAATACTATCCCAACAAGACCAATGTATTTTATCTGTCCCCTGCTCATTTCACTCATACCAAGAGTAGGAAACCAAGAGTAGCTTCTTTCTCTCACTTTAATCGTGCTATAAGTTGAGCATTTCATAATATTTTTTTATTTAAATAACATATTTTTTTAAATAAAAAAATATTATTTAATTTTAAATAACATATAAGCCAACTTTTATTCATGTGAAAGAAATAACAATAGATCGTACAGATCGAATGCAATATATCAGCGCTCCAAGGACGGTCAAATGTTCCAGCTTTCGTCAAATGGACGGTGGTATTGTGCAATAGTGTGTACTTTTGATTTTTATTTTCATTGTTGCACAGGTTGTTACACTAGTATACATTCTCGCAGGTATTAATGTGCATTTACTATACTACTATTGCATTCTGCATCACATGTACTTTAATATGCATATCCCTACACATATTGTGCATTTTACTTATCACTAATGTAAATTTATTAAATTTTTAATAAATTATAAATTTAACATCTGAACTAAATTGCAATATAATCAAAATTCTTGAAATTGCAAATAGATCCATAAAAGTTATCTAATTTTTAAGAAAATCACCCATCTCAAATTAGATTTGGCCTGTAGGGGCGGGGTTGGGGTTCGGTGGATGAAATTTCGGGCACCTCCTGCACGACGTCGAGTAGTGGCGTGGACTGGGGTTGGGGTTCGGTGGATGAAATTTTGAGCACCTCCTGCACGACGTCGAGTAGTGGCGTGGACCGGGGTTGGTGTTCGGTGGATGAAATTTCGGGCACCTCTTGCATGACATCGAGTAGTGGCGTGGACCTTCAGCGCGGTCAAATGGAGGACGGCGGAGGTCGGGTAGAGGAACGGTGTGACCTCGTGGTGGGCGTGTACAGTGGCGGAGGTGGTGATAGCGCTGGAGTGGACTGTGGAGACGTCGACGGCGGCGGCGACGAGCAGTAGAGATGTTGCGGCGACTGATTTTCTACTGGTTACCGGCAACGTGTGACGTGGACAACTAGGTCGACGACCATGTCCTAGCGCAGGTCTGTTCTGAGGATTAACGCCGGTTGGTCACAGACACTGACATGCGGCCATGTAGGTCACCAATTGCTGGATGGAGCTATGCAGATGACTGAAACTAGTTGATGCTGGACGCTTGCAACAGGTTGCAAGGTTGTGCGACCGTTGTGTGGCGGATGGCGGTGGTGGGGATGGCTGATGGGGGCGATTTGGGTGAGAACGGGCCGATAATGGTGGAAGAAAATGGTAAGGGAGACAGAGAGTGTGGGTGGGTGGTGAGTGGGGTGGGCCCACGGGTAGGGTTTGTGGGTTGGTGGAAGAGGGTAATGTGTAAAATACCCTTAATGGATGTAAATTTTAGTTTTTTATTGGACTATCAGATCTTACGGCTACGATACATTCTTATTTCTTTCACAAGAACCATGCTAACAGGAACTCATCTATATACATATGTATATATCAATCAATCAATCAATATGCTGTCAAAATCCCACTAATTGGGGTCGGCCATATGGATCACATGTCACCATCTTGCTCGATCAAAACACATATCCTCATTCAAATTTAAATCTTTTAAATCATATTTCATTGTCTCCTTCCAAGTTTTCTTAAGCCTATCCCTCCCCTTTTATTTTGCATTCTTAATTCTAATGTTTTTACTCTTCTCACCGGTGCCTTGAAGTCTCTCATACTCTACCCCAACTTTATTTTAATCACACAACCATCTCAACATTCTCATCTCTGTCACTCACATCTTTTGATCGTTTTCATATTTAGTTGCCCAACACTCAGATCCATAAAGCATCGTCTGTCGAATGGTCGTTCGATAGAACTTGCCTTTCAAACTCAATGATACTTTATGATCACAATGTATCGACGACGATCTCCTCTACTTGTTCCAACCCGATTGAATTCTATGTGTTACATCCTTATCTATGTTGTCATTATCTTCTAGAATGAATTCTAAATATTTAAAACTTTTAGATGTGTCCAATTCGTATTCCCCAATTTTAACCTTTACCCTATTATTAATATATATATCAATAAAATTAATTTTACCTTACCTGAGCGTCTATTATGCGTCAACTAGAGTGCATTGTGGCGGCACAAAGAAACCAAGACGCATGAATTGAGCGAGCGAACCTCTTTCTAAGATAAAATTTTGTAAGATTGTGGTTCTTATCAAATTAATGACATGTGGCATTTCTACGTATGACACTGTTACATACATTGTTGAATGGGATACGAGAGACTAGGAAACAATAGGACGGACTGACATTTACATGTATATACGACAAACATACAGATTTGAAAAGGGTGCTTACATCATGTTTAATGCTCAATGTTCTTTGTTGGAGACAGTTTCTGGAAGTTTGAATGTGGGAGGTTTGTCGACACCCCTTCTGGAATACTCTCTCCATCTTCGTGCTGCTGCTGCAGCTCGTGCTGCCCTCTCTTTCACTTCTTCCTCTGCAACAACAAAGAAATATTCAGCAACAGTTGCAACCAAAGAGTTTACTTTTCTTTTCCCCTTTAAAAAACTGCAGTATTTCAGAACACAAATGTGAGTCCTCTTACAAGATGAGCTACGATGCTATTTAATAGGTAAACATACGAGTTCTATGCAACAAAATCATTACATTTACTCAAGCCATAGAAAATCAACAGAAGTTTGATAGATGGGGACTCAAACATTTCTGGCACAACAAATGCATAATGTTAAGTCTTCATATTTTGTATTCTCTCCCGTTAGGAGTTTGTTGGTTCTAGGGTACCCGGTTAGCAGCCTTTGGGATAGTCTTCCCAACTAGATTCAACGGAGTAGCTGATTAATTCGGCTGTTTGGCTATTATCTAATATGTATCTTTGTGTTCTTTATTAGTGAATTCTATCGTTCCGGAAAAAAATAAAAATAAAATTAAATAAAATAAAAAATAAAAAAATAAAAAGAAAAAAAGTAGAAGGCTCAATGTGGGACCATGTAGCTTAAGATTCAATAAAGGTAAGCACTTCAGGGTCCAATGATTCCAAAACAAACAAGCCAACACATGCATTATGCTCAAAGATCAATTTATGCTCAATCATACAGTAGCAAAACTATTACACATGATACTAATTGCACAAATTAATTACTATTAGGCTAAGTTTGGATTGAAGGATTTACAAAGGGATTTGAAATTCATAGATTTGAAATCCATAGATTTCAAATTACAAGTTCAAATCCTCGTGCATGTTGGAATGATAATGGAAGTTGGAGGATTTCAAATTAATGCTAGATGTTTTTGTCATTAAGGATTTTAAATGTCTCCTCAAACCTAGTCATTTGAAATCCACTGTTTGACGACCACGCGCGATCATTTAGGTTCATCACCACCGCGAGTCAACACCATCGGTGCGAGCTAGACAATTGATTTATAATATTTTCAACAAGGAGTGTGCAAGTAAAAGAATTTATATTTCAAAAATTTTAAAATCAAGAGATTTCTCAAAACAAACGGAGCCTTAGGAAATTCTGTACTAAAAACAGTCCAGCAATACATTTTAGAGACAAGGCTGCCTACTTCCTAGAAGTGCATTGTAGAGATAACTAATTCAAAAATAATTATAGTTAAGGTTGGAAACTTGGGAGATTTGATCCATATTTACATAACATTTGATTTCTTCAGATTTTAAGAACAATTCGTTCTTGAAGTTTTTTTCCTTTTTCCTCCATGTCAATTGGTGATTCTGCTCTCATTGAATCAAGGAGTCAGATCTAGTGTTATTCTACTTAAGGGCCTGATGTAAATCATACTACATGTAAGGAAAACAAAGGCTCTTGTTTGCCAGATAAACAGGCCAGTTATCCTGATTTCAGCAGAAGACTAATTCCAAAAAGAAAGAAAAAGAGGGCAAATGAACCAAACAAATGAGCCTTGTAAGTGGTAACAACATTCAGTAAATAAAAGGGCAATCCAGAGGTGCTGCAAAATATTTACCTGAATTCTCATACTTTTTGGTTTTGCCCCAAAGGTCACTCCAATAATTTTGAGTTTTGTCAGAATCCTTCTGCTTCACCATTCTCATTTTAGCTTGTTGCTGCAGTGAAAGGGACGTTCTCAGGAATAGGCACCGAATACCAGCTTCGGTTAGTGAAAACTACCTCTTCGGAAAACAAAAGAGAAAGAAAACTAACATGTGCAGTGTCACAGTATCAGAATGCCATTTAGTCATAAAATAAAAATATTATACATTCACATTTAGAATTCTCACCAAAACTTTAGCTTGTCTCTTTTCCCATCTAATGCTCGCCTGAAACCGTAAAATTAATCAGAATTAAGACCCATAGCAAAACTAACACATCCGATAGAGGATAAGTGCTGGATAATTTTGTAATCATAGTGCCACGTAACAGCAAGCATTACAAAAATTAAGTATACAATATGAATCGAGAAACTGAACCCCCCAAATTTTGCATCTTCATATTGCACCATAGCAAGCACTTGAAAAACATTAGCTCTCGTTGAGATTTTACTTATCAGACAAACATCCATATTTTTTTCTTGTGGACTGGCATACCCAGGTTCTTTGCTACACCTAGCAATGGGTCCAGATTTTTCCATCTCTTTTGTAACCAACTCTAGTGAACATCGTTATTGCAAAGGCTGTTTTGATCACCAAAGGTCAGTTGGTCAAAATAAAGGTTCCAAATAATGTATGTCTAGACTATGTTATCTTTATCACAATCTACTCTACATGAAACAAAGAAACTTTTTTATACAATATAATCAACTCAGTAGAATCAAACGACAGTAGGAATTTTATAACTGGAGGAGAGGATCCAACTTCTTGTGGTGGAATTAATAGCATATCAAGGCATTAGGCATCGCAAGATTATAAACCTCTATGAATGTTGAAGAACAAATCTTATGACCAGAGTTCTTACCATGCGAAAGACATCTACAGATGCTGAGCCCATTCCTGAGAGCATCAATGCAACCTGATGAGTACTAAAATATTAGTAAATTCGCCAGTCAACAGAACATGTAAAAGCTGACACTCATGCACAGTCATGATAGAAATCTTAAAGGCAGATTTGTATATATAAAGTATGGGATGACACCCTAAGGATTTGTTCAACAGTTTAGATGTTCTGCCTGTCCCCAGCCCAGGCCCCAGAAACTTGCAGTTGACAAATGTCAACCAATGGCCTCAAAAGTTTTCCTTGTAAGATAAGTGTTCCAAAAACTCAATATTCACATAAACAGCTAATGTATACAGTTGAAAGAATATAAAACTAAACCTGTAAGTTTGTGAAAGTGAAAATGAAAAGCAGAACTATGCTAATCATAAGTATTCTCTTACATTGACTCTTTCTACTCTCCGCATCTCATCCTCAAGCAGGGATAACTGGGCAGCAGAAGTCCAATGTATACAATCAACTGGGCTGAAATGAAGATGTACCAATTATTTAATTGCACAAAATAGCCTAGAATCCACATTAAAACAAAAGTCAATCAATATTCACTCATCGGTGACTAAGATAGCAGATGCAAACACGGTGGGGCGGGTGGGGGGTGGTTGGGGCTGATTCTTAGCTGTTGGCAAAAAAGAAAAAAACTGAATTTCTTTTCTGTCCATAAATGGCAACTAGTTATGGTTGTCCTTATCATTGATCAATATTTAAAGCAAAGGATGATCTGGGTTTCCGAGTTTTGCTTCTAATTTAATTGTTACAACAAACAGAACACTTCAACAAATTATTCACCAAGCAATCTCCAATTATTCAAATTCTCACTTATATTGGCTACACTACAAAGTTCTGATTTGCAACTACCTTTTTTGCCGCTTCTATAAATAATTCTTTCAAAAAACATACATTTTGCAAGAATCATGAAAGAGAAAAAAATACTTTTCCAAAAGAAAAAAAAAAAAAAAAAAAAAAAANCGAAAAAAAAAAAAAAAAAAAAAAAAAAATCTAATATGAGAATGACAAGTAAAACCAGAAATTTATGGAGTCTTCGAAGTGGGACAGCTTATACGTGTGTTTCCACCTAGCTACCAGTGGATTTAAAAATCACCAATGGAACCTGAAAATGATTTTCATGACTAAGGAAGTGCATTAGATCTGTACGCAACACTAGGATTTATATTTTCCCCAAAAGACTAAACCAACCAATACAAGGTGGGGATAACTTCTATTGATTTTGGTATATTACATTGATGTTCACTAGCATTCTAAATTTAAAACATTTAGTATTTCATATGGCTATGACATTCCAGATATTCACTCACTCCATGTTACCTTTCTCTCACTTTGTCTGCGTGAATGTACTTCAGTCAAGAAATTCCAGTTCGAAAACTAACAGATTATAGGATTTTCACAGAATCATCACGCATGTACAGATTATTTTCAGGGATCTAATAAAAAACTTCAGTCAAGATGAATGAGATACCAGCCAGAAAGGCAGTCCTTAAAAATGTCATAACAATTTACTACAATAACATCAAACAATAAGTTTCATAGTAGACCAACAGTCAATATTCTGTAGTAATGCTGATAACTAAAATCAGAAAGACAAAAAATAAGGAAAAAGAAAACAGTTACCAGCTATCAACAGCTTGTTGAACTGAGTCAGGGTTTCCACTCTGACTATAAGCTCTGGCTCTTCCAAAGTCTTCTTCAATAGCAAATACATCAGAGCAAACGTTGGCACAATTCTTGCAGCCTTTGGTAATGAAAGGAAATGAGACACAATGTTATTTAGACTTTGTAATGCTGAAGATATTGCTGGATCCGTATAGGATTCCAGTGGAAGTTAAAACTTGAGCAAAGAAGAAAACAACATATGCATGTTTTGTACTTTTTACATCTTGTGTTGCCTCATTAGCATCACAACTTCCATATACATAAATACACCCCATAGTGATTGATGCATCTCATTTTGTTGCTCTTAGTAGAATTTCACGACCATAAAACTGTTTCTATACATTGCTATGATCGTGAGAATGTCGTGAAAACAAGCACCATGAAGCAGAATTTTTACTCAAGTTTTCCTTTTGTTATCGACATTATTTTTTATAATTTTTAATTTTTAACATTTATATGACAACTTATGCAGAAACATATCACGTTGAACACATTCTAAAACTTAGTCATAGCTGTAAAAATAACTAAAATTGAGTACTAGAAAGTAGAAACATACCAATGCAGCTAAACTCATCCACAAATACATGGTCCTTTGGGCTGGAATCATCTAAAAATGGATTGATTCCTGTCAAAGCATATCCATGAATTTCATCATAAACCATCCGCTGAACAGGATCACTGAGAACCTAAACAGGAAAAGTCCGTTTATAGCAGAAAAGCTTGAGCACAACTCATCAACTCTGCATACATCCAACATTTTAAGAGGAACTGTACAAACAAAACTTACTGCGTAAACCTCATTTATGAACATGCAGAAATTTGTTGTATCTGGATCATCACCACTGAGATCTGGATGGCAAGCTTTCATGCAACTATAGTAAGCTTTCTTTATCTGCTCGGGTGTGGCATCGGGAAGCTGGTGGCATCACATGTGAAATGAGACAGTGTGTCATCATTTTAGACAACAAGAAAGAATAAAGTCAACTCAAATTTAACATGCACCAATCAATCATATCTTGCGCAATATTTAAACCTGTGTTTTTCGGTATTTGTAGAATACTCATGCTTCCATCACTTGTTCAAATTTTTCACATCGTTTAAACTTAATCTTAAAAAGTTGATTTCGAATAGCACCCAAAAAAAAAAAATCAATAAAGCAAAAGCGTATCAAACCGGAAAAAAATAAGACCCCTTTTTTATAATATTGCATTTCCAATCAGCTTATTAGTGTAATTAGTCATCCTTCTATAGAATAACTGTAAGCACAAAAAATACAATCAGTTCACATTCTTGGTTTTCTACCAAGTCTTGTTCATTAGATCCTAAGTTGCAATTACCATCAGAGTCACACAACAAATCTGACTCTAGCTCGCTGCAGTTCAATGGTCAAGTTTAGAAATCAACTATGCATAATCAATCAGATTAACATACAAAGCAACTCCTAAAATAAGTTTCTGAAGAAATGAAGTCAAATATTAAAATGGAAAATCCTTCCTATTGGATAATCATGATACTTTCACAAGAGGCTTCAATCACTGGGAATTTAATCAATATACTACACGAGTTAAAGTAAAAGCTTTCCTTTTCCCTTTACTCAATTACCAGACCCAACACAGAATAATAATCCTCTGCAGTGTCGTCGTAGGATGCCGATTCCTTAGAGGTAACCCTCATTCTCCCGACACCTTTCCTTCTCCCACGATCACCGCTCCAATTCACACTATTTCTACCTAACAATAGACATTTATTCTTCCAAGAGAAGCTCGGTGATGGATGCTGAAATTTGATTGTATCGATACAGACCGGAGAGAGTAACTGAGCCATTACCTCACAGCCAGCCAGCAACTCACCAATATATTAAAAAAAAAACTCAGAAAGAATTTCCAATAATTCGATACAAGAAAAGAATGAAGTCGCCGAGGAAGATTGATGAGATTTTTAATCGTAAAAGAAAAAATATAAATTAATTTCAAAATTTATGAGGAGGGAGAAAAATGGAGAGTTGGAAAATAAAAAGAAGGAATAAATGAGATGGCAAGATGAAGGCCAGTCGTTTGAGCAAGACTGTAGTCGAAGTTCCTTCACGACAAAACAGCACGTGTCGTTAGCGTGTTGGCGCTTACTAAAATTCTATTTTTTCGTATTAATTTTTAGGCTGCACTTGGTAGGATTAGGGTTTGCAAAATCGAGCAAAAACTGAAAAATCGAGCCGAATCGATGTATTCAGTGTGGTGCGATTTGGTTTTTTTAAAATTGTGATTTGCGGTGCGGTTAAGATTTCAATAAATCACAAAAAGAAGGATGCGGTTTGTTTTTATAGTCGGATGGTGCAGTTTTAACCGAACTGCACCGAATAAAATTTATGTTATATTATAGGTATATATATAGGAAATTGCGACTAGTTAAATGAGGGCACATATTTAAAGTGTGTACGTGAGACCCGATCTCAACTGTTCATTAAGCTCTTAATTTGATGTTCATTATCCATCTCTTGAATTAAAAAATTTTTGCGCGGTTTTCTGATTTCTTGTCAATTTCAAAACCTCTCTCTCTCTCTTCAGTTTCATTCTCTCGTTTTTCATATCTATATTTTTCGTTGGATTCTATCTCGTCAGTTTTTATTTTCTGTCAGTTCTCTTATTGTTTGTCGCAATCCTCTATCAATTCCAAACAAGTTGGTGAGTATCTTTGGTATTGTTTTTGTTTACAGTTTCGTTTTCGATTTTTAGGTTATGCTTTTAATTTTTCATTTCGTTTATTTAATCCTTGAATTCTTTTTTATATTCTGATTTCGTTTTTCTTGAAGTAAACATAGAGAACGAAAAACTTTTTGTAATTATATTTTTATTTATTAAATTCTGTTTTTGCTACTTTAGTTTACGAATAATGCATAGACAATGTATATTACATGCATATTTACTTGTCATTTGTGCTAGATATATTGAGAACATCTTGTTGTTTCTTGTTGTTGTATTAGTTCCTGTGTAATGCATAGATAGTGTATATTTTCTGCATTTTTAGTTCTGAATGTTGCAGAACAACCTCATCAATTTTGTTTCTATATTAGTTATTGAAGTATGCAAAGATAGTTTATGTTTTATGCTTAATTAGTTGGCATTTGGTGCTTGACATGTTCGTATCGACCTGTTGTTTTATGTTTTTGTATCAATGTTTGTATTATGCATATTTAGTTGTGAGTTGGTGTTTGTCATGTTCAAAATAATATGTGGTTTATTGTTGCAATAGTGCATACATAGTGTATTTTGCATGCTTAATTAGTTATTTTCTTTCAAATGTATATACAGTTTTTCTCATTTGACATGTTATGACTTATGAGTTACTTGTACTAGATATCACCTTCAAGATTTTTGGTCAAGGGTGTCATCGTAAAAATCCTAATAAGGAACGAATATTTGGCATATTTAAATCTCGTTTCATAATTTTCAAAGCAGTCCCTCCTTTCCCATATCATACACAAGCAGAGCTAATCTTAACTTGTGCAGGATTACGTAATTGTTGGCGCAAAGAGTGTCAATCTGACGAATTTTCAGTTGACACTGAAGACGGAGTTTCAATAAAAGATGAAGCGCAAGTTTTCGGACCATATTTTGAGAGTTAATAACATGAAAAGAAGCCGCAAATACATGGAGATTGAGTTTGGCTGGAATGATGTTGAAAATATTTGATGTATTGTTTATTTCATTTTTTTGTTCTTTGTGATTTTTCTATTTTCCCTAAAGTGTCAATAACGTAACTATTGTACTTTTTTAGTTTGATTATTGAATATTTTCATGTTTTTTTTTTTTTCTTATCGAGATCGTATATTATAATATTTTTCTTTTCTCTTGTCTTCATTCTTGCTCGATGGATAGTACTTAATACCATAATGCGTTTCAAACTAATATTATAATTTTTTAATTACTAATTTGACTTTATTGATACTAGTTATTATGCACCTAATTTTTATGAGTATTTCAAACAAATTTAATTAATATAATAATAATTATATAAAATTCAGAAAGTTCCAAAAAGTTCACATTGAAAGTCTTAAAAAGTCTCCGCAACAATCTCACAAAATCTACAAAAGTCAGTAAAAGTAGCACAAATTCCACAAAAGTCATCCACTTTAAAAAGTCTTAAAAAGTCCTAACTGAATACACCCACCTTATATAAGGATTGGAATAAGACATAATATCTGTAACTTGAACTTGAAGTACACATTTCATCCTACTAATACTCAAAGAAGTCATTCTATGCCTTGGGAGATTGAGTGGCATGAAAGCTCGAGCAGGAACCTGTTTTTGATGGTCTATTGAGCTTCACTAATGGGACCAAAGACTGCACCACATCAGCCATCAACGGCCTGTACTCCGCCTCCGCTTGCACACACATAGCCGCAATGGCAGCAACTTGAACGACCTCCTTCATTGAATACTGACCCTCTAATGCCGGGTCCATTATTTCACCAACCTTATTTCTATCTGTTAACTGGGGTAAGGCCTGTAGTTCAAAATCCATCACACTTTAAGAGAACCAAACAAATATAATAAAGTTAAAATTGCAATTTTAGTCTAGTTGATTTGATCCAGTGGCATTTTTAGTCCTAAGAATTGAACATTTTGCTATTTGGTCCTATAATTTTAAAATTCAACGCAGTTTCAGTCCTTTGAACTGAAATTGCTAATAATGAATTTTTGATTAGTAATTTAAGTCCTATAATTTTAAATTTTGTTGCAATCAGTCCTAAAGGACTGAAATTGTAGCAAAACACTAAATTACAGGACCAAAGATAAAAAGTTGAAATCTTTGGACTAAAAATGCTATGGCGTTAAACCAGCAGGACTAAAAATGCAATTTTGCCTATAATAATAAATGCAGTAATTAGAAAATAAATTAAGAAAGTACCCAGGATACAAGAAAAGCTTCACCCGCCGGCCTCTTCATATCGACTGGGACTCTACCAGTCAGCAATTCAAGCAAAACAACTCCATAGCTGTATACATCTGATTTTGTGGTAAGATGCCCAGTTAAAGCATACCTGTAGGAGTGAAGATTTGCAAGAAAGTTAACCCAAAATCACAGTCAACGTATTTTAAAAGTTGAAAAATGTTGTGATTTGCAAAACATAAAGAAGTTAAGATATGTTTTGATCTTACTCAGGCGCAACATATCCTTGGGTGCCCAGAACTCGAGTCGAGACATGTCCTCCGGCTTTATCAGAACCACGTTTCGCCAGTCCGAAATCAGAAACTTTAGCGTGAAAATTTCTGTCGAGAAGGATATTGCTACTTTTGAAATCTCTATGAATTACCGGGGGACTAATGTGTTCGTGAAGGTACTCCAAACCCTTTGCTGCTTCTAAAGCTATTCTCAATCGAGTTTCCCAGTTTAAGTTGGAAGAAACAGTTCCTGAATGTCAAAGCCAGAACATAAACATCGGTTGCCACAAGACGAGTTCACAAACAAAATATATCAAATTTTCATTTTAACATGTTGCCTTTGTCATAAGGAGCAACTCTGTGTACGAAATTCAACTAATTCATGCTACATTTGCTCGTATAACTGATATTAGACAAGTGGTGCTTATCAATCCCACAACTTAATTGACTCAAGAATATCATTAATTCTCATATACTGATAAATATCAATGTGCTGCACGGTGACAAAATCCTGGCCATTTTTTGCAAAAACTTAATTTCCTCTTGGGATATGATTTCGCAAAAGTGATATCATAGACAGAATCTCGTCAAAACCTACAAAAGATGAGAATCGTCTTATTTATTATGAAATATTCCCTGAGACAAACAAGACAGAGACAGAAACTTCGATTGAAAAATAAAGACTACATAAACTGCACTTGAGAACACAAACAGTTAACTAAATCAGTGCAAATGCAAATCATAATTGTGGTGAAGCAAACAAATGAAATATTCCCTGAGACAAACAAGACAGAGACAGAAACTTCGATTGAAAAGAAAAGACTACAGAAACTGCACTTGAGAACACAACAGTTAACTAAATCAGTGCAAATGCAAATCATAATTGTGGTGAAGCAAACAAACTACAGGCAAGAAACTGATAAAAGTTAATTTACCCCTGGCTGGATACAAATGTTCCTGCAGTCCTCCATTGACCATAAACTCATAGACCAGCAATTTGCGCTTGTTTTCCGAACAATATCCAATCAATGGTAGCAAATACGGTGAACGTAGCCGGCCCAACAATTCTACCTAATTCATAAAGCAAATTAGAACAAAGCAAGTGATCCACATAAAAATAAAAAAATAAAAAGGTGTTGAATCTCAAGTTACAGCAGATAATTTTATTAAGAAGGAAGAAATTTAACATGAAGATCTGAACCTCTGCTGTGAATTCGTCTTCTCCCTGTTGTCCAGCTTCATCCATCAACTTAACAGCAACTTTTCTTCCATTTTGCAGCACTCCTCTGCATACCAATCCAAATGCGCCATGGCCAATCACATTAGACTTCCCAAATCCACCAGTGGCAGAATGGAGCTGCTTGAAAGTAAAGACTTGGAGTCGATTGTCTGTCGTGACTTGGATATTGGAAGCATTGCCGGTTTTAACATCATGGGGAATCCCTTGTAAATCTAATAGGACACTCATAGATGCAAAAAATAAAATTGGAAAATCGGCCAGTAAATTTTCAGACAATAAATAAATTATATGACTGCTCACACTTGAACCTGATGGCATTAGCAAACCCACTTCAACATGGGCACAAAAGTAACCTTTCTTCCTTTGGAATAATTAAGTTAAGGTAGCGGCAATTCATAAAGGAGGGGATATAATTTTCTTTTTTTTTCCCTTTAGTTCATTTCAAAAACCCACATTTTCAAGTCGTCAGATAGCAACACTTAATAATGACAGAACAAGGACCACAATTAGCTCTATGTGGTAGAGTAAACATCTACAAGACTAGAATGCTACTCTAACAAGCTCTCAACTGGTAATTTGCTTGCGCAATGAGTAATGAGTTCAAAGTTACCAACTTTTTTTCTTTGTCTTGAGCCGCTTGGAGAGTTTGAATCTCAAGTAGCAGTAGTAACTGAAGGTCACTACAACTGAAACAAGGGCGAGTGATGCGAAAACCAAGATTACAGCCACTGCAATGCGCTCCTTCTTCTTGTACTCGTCGTTTTCTGCTCCCATTGACAGAAAATGACTGAAATATGACAAAGTTTTAGGCAAGAACATGGAGAACTGTTGAGAGCGAGTGGTGAGTAAAAAAGTTTTTAACCTTGAAAGTACGAGAGGCTCTGGGTCCCACAGTAGGTGGATTATGGGTTGGTTGGATATATATCAATTTGATTTTTGATTTTTTTTTTTTTGGGCAAAACGATAGGGGCAATATATATAACCAACAAGATAGAGTTCAAATACATTACATCACACTAACTAAAATAAAACTGAGAGATGCCACACAAGGCACCTAGAACCTCAACAAATCTAACCAAACTAAGAAAGAAAACCAGAAGAAGAAATGCATCTCTTTACTGCCATAAGGCCTAGCTAGAATACATCACTTCACAACCCTAACCTATCAAACCACACAACAAAAAAAGAATCAATCCTATCAAGGGTGAAGAACATCACTATGCTCTGCAGCTAAAGAAGCTTCAGTCCAATCCCTTTGAGCAGCAGATATCACAATGTGTTCTGGCATTAGTGATCCTTTAAAAATCCAATGATTTCTTGATTTCCACAGCCACCAAAGCAAGTAGGTGGAAAGTTGAATTCTAGCTTGGACAACATCAGTTTGTTTAATGTGACTAACCTGTTGCCACCAATACTTGAAGGAGTGAGTGCTGTGTTGTAAGCCGTCCCAATTAACAGGTGCAGCTTCCCAGATCCTACTTGCTCTTGGACATGAAAATAAAATGTGTTCTGTAGTTTCTTGTTGATCACCACAAATGGAGCAGATGACACAAACATCAAGTCCTTTCTTCCTCAAGTTGACAGCAGAAGGCAAAGTTCCTGTGATACATTTCCAGATGAAGTGCCTCACTTTGCTTTGCACCTTCATCTGCCAGCATCTCTGATATATCTGCTGAGGAGGATAAGGGCTGTGACTTGATTCAGGAATGTCCAAACGCAGTATCTTGAGTGAAGCCAGGAACTGATAAGTGCTAGCTACTGAGAAATTTCCTTTAGAGTCAAATCCCCAAAACTGTCTGTCTTGTCTAGCAGGGTTTAAGGTACTTATCTTGAGTATTGCAGCACTATCTTCAGAGTTGAAGACCTGCTCTACAAGCCATTTGTTCCATTCTAGACCATTGGGTTGAAGCAAGTCCTTTACCCAAACTAAGTGCCCTCTTGCTATTTCAATCAAGGAAGGATGTGGTTTTCCCAGCTTAGGCACCCAATTCAGATCATCAATCCTGGTTGAGAGCCAATTCCTGATTTCAGTTCTAACACCTTTGGAGAAGATAGGCATCACTGAGAGCCAACTGTGCCAAAGCCAAGAGCCTTTCTGTGTTCTTTCTGCATTGAAAATGGAGCTGTTGGGGAAGTATCTGTCCTTCAAAATCCTACTCACCAAAAGCTCTGGCTTGGAGAAGACTCTCCATAACTGTTTACACATTAAGGCCTCATTGAATAGGTTGATGTCAAGAAACCCCAAACCTCCTTTAAGCTTGGGCAGAGTGAGTCTCTCCCATTTCCTCCAGTGAATTCCAGATCCTGTGTTGTCTCCAGATTTCCACCAAAAGGCAGCACATAGTCTAGAGATTTCTTTGCAGATGCCAACTGGTAGTTTGAAACATGTCATAGAAAAAATGGGGAGTGCCTGTAAGACTGATTTAATCAATACCTCTTTGCCAGCTGGAGAAAGTAGCTTGTTCTTCCAGCCCTGCAATTTGTTCCTGATGGATGAAATGATGTAGTCAAAAACTTCCTTCTTTGATCTACCAATTCCCAGAGGCAATCCAAGGTATCTTGTTGATCTGTGAGGCACAATGCCCTGTAGCACACCACATATGCTGTCCCTCACATTTTGAGGTGTATTCCTGCTAAAGAAAATCCCAGATTTCTGCAGATTTACCCTTTGCCCAGTAAAGAGCCTATACTTGTTCAGGAGATTTAATAGTTGCCTGGCTTGATCCACTCCTGCTTTGCAAAAAAGCAAGGAGTCATCAGCAAAAAGGAGGTGAGTGATTGCTGGACCATTGCTTGAGAGTTTAAGTCCCTGTAGGCTACCCTGAGATTGAGCATTTGTAATCAGGGCTGACAAGAGTTCAGCTGCAATGATAAAAAGGTAAGGGGACAGAGGGTCCCCTTGCCTGATACCTCTTGATGGAGTGATGTAGCCACTAATCTTGCCATTGACTTTGAAAGAGGTTGTGGTTGTTGTTACACAGGCCATGATCAATTTGACAAAATCAGGTTGAAACCCCATTTGAAGCATAATTCTCTGGATGCAATTCCACTCGAGCCTATCAAATGCTTTCATTAGGTCAAGCTTTATAGACATAAAGAAATTTTTCCCTGTGGAGTGTCTGTTCAGAAAATGGTAAGCCTCCTGAGCAATGATAATGTTGTCCATGAGCTGCCTTCCTTTAACAAAAGCTGATTGATGAGGGCTGATGCAATCCTGCAGACAAGTCATAAGTCTTTGAGCTAGAACTTTTGATAGAACCTTGTATATCACACAGCATAAGCTTATTGGCCTGAATTGAGAGAGTGTTTCTGGATGAGCCATTTTAGGTATCAAGGAGATTATTGTGTGATTCCAATATCTTAAGAGTGTCCCCGAGTGGAAGAAACTGAGGATAGCTTCAAAGACATCCACTTTAACCAAATTCCAGAAATGCTGAAAAAAAAGAGCATTCATGCCATCCTCTCCTGGTGATTTCTCAGGTGGCAGGGAGAAAACAGCTGCTTTGACTTCTTCTTCTGAAACTGGTCTCAGTAAACTCTGGTTCATGTCTGCAGTAATTGTCTGAGGTATAAGATTAATGATTGACTCTCCATCCCAACTACCCTCAGATGTGAATAGTTCAGAATAAAAGTCAGCAATATGGTGTTCAATGTCCTCTTGAGTGGAAAGCACTGATCCATTAGGAGTTATAAGCCTTGATATTGCATTGAGCTTCCTTTTCTGGAGAGTGTATGCATGGAAGAACTTGGTGTTGCCATCACCTTCTTTTAGCCATTTCAGTTTTGATCTTTGCTGCCAGTGAAGCTCCTCTTGTCTGTGAGCTTCATTAAGTTCATTCCTTGTACTGCTCCATTGCTCCCAATAATCATCTGGTTTATCCTCTCTTAACACCTCAAGTTTTCTTGTTAGCACTTCAATTGTCTGCTGATTATTGGTTTTGAACTTCGAACTCCAAATTAACAAAGCTACCCTTGTGTTCTTCACTTTTTCCTTGAGTTTGAAAAAAGGGGTGCCTGAGGTTGGCTGATTCCATGCTGCTGAGACAATTTCTGAAAGCCCCTCAATCTTAAGCCATTTCTTTTCAAAGTGAAATCGTGCTGTGGATTTTGGTTGAGTTGTTCCTTTGCTGAGAAGGAGCATTGAGTGATCAGATGCACTTCTCACTTTGTTGGAGACCACTGCATTAGGAAAGTCGAGTAGCCAATCTGTTGAAGCAAAGGCTCTATCCAATTTTTCCTCAACCATACCTTCTGCTTCCCTGAGATTACACCAAGTGAATCTATAACCCTGCATAGGAAGTTCCTCCATATCCATATCATAAATAAAGGAGTTAAATCCTAAGAGGCTCCTGTCACTCCTCAAAATACCACCAGCTTTGTCCTCTTTAACACAGATGTCATTCCAGTCTCCCACAGCAAACCATTTAGTACCCCAGAGATTTTTATCATTGATCAATTCATTCCATTGTTGCATTCTGGTCTGTTTACAAGTGCTCAGATAGACAAAAATGCCCCATTGAGAAGGGCCAGAATCTAAATCAAATTGAACAGCAATGTAAAAAGATTTAGACATAATATTAATAACATTTACATTAGTATCCCACAGTAAGAGCAAACCCCCACTAAGCCCCACAGGGTCTACAAAGGAAAATCTATCAACAAAACCCAACTTCCTAGCTACAGATTTGACAAAGCCATTTGATTTTTTTGTTTCAGAAAGAAAGAAAAAAGTGGGGTGGTGAGCCTTAATGGACTCTCTGATTTGGGAAATTGTAGAGGGCCCACCCAGCCCTCTACAATTCCACACCGCAGCTAACATTGAGGTTTGGGGTGCCACTTGAGGCTGGCATCCTCCACCATAGCTTGGGAACCTTTGACTTTCTTGCTTGATGATGAAGCTTTCAGAACCTGGTTACTGAGATCTGGAGAGGGGGGAGAATTCTCTCTATTCCTCTTGCCACTGATGCTATCTTGAATCATCAACACTGGGTCCTCATTTCTTTGCAGCCTCCCTTCTCTGCTCAAAGCCCTTTTCCAAGTCTTCTGTTTGTGATTAGCTGGATCTTTTGAGGATTTAATGAGATTGGCATGGATTTGTATTGGAATTGAAGGAGCTTGGACCACTAGTTCCATATCCATTGCCTTGGTCTGAGAACCTTCTTCTATCCCTTTGTCAGTAGACTCCAAGCATTTTTTAGGGTGAGAAGGAGAAGCATTTTTAATTGCTGAGTTGGTTTGAGGATTAGACTCTCCCTGAACTGAGTTTGAGGCTTGCCCACCAGGTTGGAATTCAGTAGAGGTTTTAGCTTGAACTTGAACTAGCTGCTTCCCTTTGTCTCCCATTCTTGAGGTGCTTCTTTCAGGAGAAGACTTATCTGGAGCCTGATTGTAGGAAGGAGTGTTCCTGGAGCTCGATAGACCCACTTCTATCCAGTTTTGACCTTCCACAGCTTTTAACCATTCTCCATACTGCCCTTCTTTAACATCTTTAGATTTAATGGCAGCTATTCTTTTTTTGCAACCTCTATCCAAATGTCCCAGCAGACCACAATAGTAGCATAGATTGTGAAGTTTCTCATACCTAAATCCCACACTTATTATTTGGTCTTCCAGTTGAATGTTTGTGCACCTTGGAAGAGGTTCGTTTATATCCAATGAAACCAGTAATCTTATAATTCTGCCCCCATGATTTCCTGAACTAGCTATAACCACATTTTGGACTGAGTTGAAGATTTTCCCTATTTTCAGACCAACCTCAGTGCTCAAGCAGTTAATAGGAAGGTTCTATACCTGAACCCACATAGTGATTTCTTGAAAAGC